TAAACACAAACAGCAGCCACTTAGCTCCGCTTTGCTCGGATTAGCATTTCAGAATGGGCTCCGGAGCCACAGGTCCAATGTATTATTCACTGTCATTACAAACAGACTCATAACTCAGCCTGGCAGCGAACACAGCCACTCGCTCGGCCCACCGACCAGAACCGCTCAGCACTGACAGACCAGCAGCGTTAACTCAGCCACATTAGTGCGTTATACACAGGAAAAATACATTCAGACATGCACATTCTACACCAAGCAAATCAGCGCTTTCAACACAGCAACTTATTTTCACAAATTTTACACGCCAGCTGCCATTTACAGCGTGCGAAGATTTCATTATGAGTGGATGATCAATACACTGTTAAAAATGAGGTCAGCTCAACTCAAACCGATATAGTATCTGATTACATGGCTTTTCTTGAGTTGACTCAACTCGAAGACACCAGAGTTCACACAAGTCAAACTTCTTAGTTGAGTCTCTTAATTTTTTTGTTCTGCGTCTGAGAGAAATAAATAAAATACGTTTGTTTTTATACTCAATTTCTCCACTAGCCAGGACTCTCTCCAATACACAATCCTAGTAGACATTTTTCCTCTTGCGTACACATTTATGGATGGATATGGCACTGCTGGGGCTCAAACTCACAACCTCCTGTTGGGGTGATGGCTTAAAGCCTCAGCGTACTTCTTGTGAAACAAAATTCTCGAGGGTGACGCGAAGCTGAAAGCGCCTTCGCGAGCTTTTTTTGTGTTTTGGTTTTGTCGCGGATGCTCCACTAATGCAGGTGACGCTCTATGATAAGTTCAATGACAACTTGAAAACGATTCTATCACAGTTCCAACTATGGCGAGTCCAGGATACTGCGACTATTTAAGGTGGAACGGGAAAATTTGAACATGAAGCTGGCAAATAGGGAGCCAACTTCAGCCTCATCCTGTTGTGAACCAAAATAAAAGATAACCTATATGTTTTGGTGCTTAATACCAGTTAGTAATACCGAATAACAGACTTAACATCTTACATTTAGGAGGTATTCGTTGTTTGTTTAACAGAGAAATATTGGCGACTCTGCCAAAGAGCTCATTGTACTTCTTTCAAAACGAACCTCTGCAAAGTCATCCATCTTTAAACCCTTTTTAACTCTGAAACAGTTGAACTGTAATAAGGCACAGTGACCTGCATGTCTCTTCTGACCATATTTTTTTTTCTTTTTCCATTTTATTCATGCAGAATTGATGCACACATTGGAATCAAGTGAGCTAAAATGGCTTTATAACCATAGTTATCATCTTGCCTCGACTCAGAGATCTACTCCTCTGTGTAAAACTCCACACTACAGGAGTTTTGTGCTGGATTTTACTTTTCACCACATCTGCCTACAGCATCTCACACTCAGGCATTTGTTTAAGTCCAAAGAGCGGTGACGGTTTCCATTCCGAAGTGGCCGCACAGCTGAGTGGTTTCGCTAAAGCCAGCGTGAAATTTATAGGCCCAATTTAAGCCCAGCAGGCTAACAGGTTCTGTGTCAGTCAAAGCTTTTTAGAGTCTATAAAGGCGTAAATGTGACTTACGTACTTATATAATGTCTCCAGCCCAAAGTGCATTTTAGATTCATCATAATCCCGCAGGCTGCCCAGGGGTTAGCCAGCAGTCGAGCTAGAAAAGCACGCTTTCAGCAGAGCCGGGAGGAGTTTAGCTTAGCATTTCCATTTCAGAGATGCTCTGATACAAACGCAGCTCCATTTACATTAAACACACAAGCCGTTCATTAAAGATGCGCAGTCATATTGATGTCGTCCAGGATTTTCTCTCTGGCAGGGCGACGGGTCCCCGGTGGTTATTATTTAATCAGCGGTAAATGGTCTTAATTAGTAGATTAGTCTCTTTCCAATTAGCCGCCACTCTAATTGCTCTAATCTACCACCGCAGTCCTCTGCATCCTAATTTGGAGACCCACATTTAGACTCACCGAGGACCAATCTGACGCGTCATCATGAACTACGTTATCCTCACATAAACCAGCCGCTTACGAGCCACTCTGGCCCAATTTAGGGAACAGCTGGTGTGTTTTCATTTCCATTGTGCCATCATCCGACTCGCGGTGATATTTTAAGCCGTGGTTTGCCTTTGAAGCACCGCAGGAGGCAGACTAATTGGAGTGGATGCATAGCTTCTGCACACAGACTGTCAGTTACTGTTTCAGCTGAAATTCTGCGTTAGAACCGATAAGGAACCGAAGGAGCACTGGGCCTTGTTCAGGATCAAGAGCAGATTTGACCACCTGAATGATGCACAAATTCATGAAACTGTTGTGCAACATCGAAACAGACGGCTTCAGTGCGTGAAAACAAGCGCCTGTGCATCACCACTTAAGTTACATGTAACTGTGCAAGGGACACGCCCCAATCAGCTCTCATTTACACATCATTTACATTGCATCACACCCTAATTCATGCAGAGGTTTCACAGTGAGCCAGTAAAAGCAAAGCAGCTCATGAGTGAAGGGTTGGAGTTTAGGGTCAAGCTGGGATTGCACTGCTCCCCCTACAGGCCAGAGCTTAAATAATGTCAAAAAACTGTTGAAATGCATAAAATGTGATTTTAAGTGAAATCATCTTAAATCTAGTCTATATATTTAGCATTTCTTGTTGTAGAAAACTGTAAGATTATTCAACATAAATGACTTGTTTTAAGTAATTTTATGTAGTGCAATTGTCTTATTACAATGAATTAAGATGCTTTAATTAGACAAGATGATTTAAAACAGTAAAAACAGTCTTACTGCATTCTTATAATGAGAACTATTAGACATACTGACTAAATGTAAGATTGTTCACTTGCTGAGATATAATTTTTTGCAGTGTAGAAATCTGATATGACTGTGCAGAGTGATGTTTTTCCTAAATGACTGGCTGGTAGAGCTGTGTTAATGCAGTGTATGAGCTTCTTCTGCACTGGGAAGAGCATTTACTCTCGTTACTGTAATTGAGTACAGTTCTCCCTGTAACGGTACTTTTTGGAGTAGAATTAAATCGTAGTACTTTTACTCATATTTGAGTTAATTTTTAATAAAATACTTTTACTTCGCTACTTTAATTTTCTTAACGTTGCAGAGTAAAAATAAAGGATGAGAGAATCAGCTCAGAAACCAATACGAACGAAGGGCGGTTAAAATTAAAAGATTCACCAATCAAAAAACAGCAGTTCTGTTAGGAAAAACAGTACAGAGATGACCAGTTTAGTGAAGAAAGACAGAGGAGAACTGAACCAGCACACACGAGGAGCAGGCCGTGTCCAAACGGTCATCTGTATTCATTTAACATGAACTAAAAAAAGCGGCCGAACACGAAACCTGCTGAGATCTGCTCTCACAACTCCACTCCAGCCTGCATTAACCGAGCTAGCTGATCCGAGCTGAACAGGTACCGTATTTATGGGTTTCTTCTTTGTTTTATAATGATTCTGATTATTACATTGGAAACCTGCTGAGTATATTTTATTACAGTGTCTGTCAGCTACTTTAGTTAACAGGTGTCACTCACAGCCCACAGGTTACCGTTTATACAGCCTAGTTTAGCTGCTGTTTGGAGATAAACGGTCGTGAAGACAAGAAATCTAGTCTAATACAGGATCTTCATCAACTCTGAGCAGCGATTCTGTCGCGCTGTTGTTGACAGGCCTGATCTGACCCCCCCCCCAGCCCGCCCTCTTTCCCTCTCTCTCTCTCTTCCTCTCTCTCTCACTCTCACTCTCACTCTCTGTCTCTCACTCTCTCTCTCTGTCTCTTCCTCATTCTCTCTCTCTCTCTCTCTCTCTCTCTCTCTCTCTGCCTTGGTGTTTGTCTTTAACTGTGAGAGGCTGTGTAGCCGTTTAACTGTGAAAAATGCAGTAACAGTGTCTGGTTCTGTATGAAGTGATCAGCATGATTAGTGAAAGATCAGTGCTGGGTAAGTTGCTGATGTTGCTGCTGATTTTAATGGTGTAAATGTTTTGAACAGATGTCAGTAATAATGTACAGTTTGAGGGCTGTGAGACGTTCACACCTATTAACGTAAGCTAGAGTCCAGTAAATGTACTCATTGAAACAGTAACATCCTCTGCACAGCCTTTCAGGGATTCTGAAATACTTTATTGGAAACAGATAAACTAGGACGTCTTATATAATCGTCTAACCATGAAATGCATGCAGTTTAATGTAAACCTCATTCCTTACACAACTCACAGAAAACTAACTGTGATCAGTCTCAGCTCTCAGAACTGCAGCTTTAGTGTTTTTCTGTACAGATTATTTCCAGTGATGTAGCCGAGTAGCTCAGAAATATGTTCAGGTTGTGACAGTGGAAATATGAGAAAGTAACTAAGTAACTCAGTACTTAAGTAGTTTTTCAGCGAACTACTTATTTACTCTAACTTGAGTAATTTTATTTACTGATACTTTTACTTATACTTGGGTAAATTGTCACTACAGTAACAGTACTTGTACTTGAGTAGGGATTTTCAGTACTCTTTACACCTGTCATCATGTCAAGTTTGTAATAATAGAGGAACCTGTTTTGGTGCTATGTAAACTTAAATAGAAGGTTCTTCTAGGGTCCTTTAGTAAACACAGTTCTATATAGAACCCTGAACACTAAAAGAACTCTTTGCATGATTAAATGGGTTTTATATGGATCGATATAGAACAGTCTGTAAAAAGGTTCTGTATAGCACCAAAAAGAGTCCTTCTATTGTTACAGGCTTGACATCATAACAATAGAAGGTGCACTACAGAACCCTTTTTAAAAAGGTTCAATATCGTACCATATAAAACACACTCTGCATCAATCTGAGGAACCCATCAAAGATCCAAAGAACCCTTAAATCATGCAAAGGGTTCTTTTAGTGTTCATGATTCTATATAGAACCACTGTCTTCACTAAAGAGTGTAGGTACTCAGCAAGGCTTGCTACGTGAATTCGGTGAATTGAAGGCAATGAGTTGAAGCACCAAACATGTTTACCTGCCCTGCACTTTGATGTCCGAGATGGCGTAAAAGTATCTGGACAGGTTGTTCTCGTCCACCATCGTGGCGCCTGTAGCAGGCCGTAGGAGCCGGATCCGCAGGTCAGTGAGGGTGAAGAAGTCCCTCAGGTTCTTGGTGGTGTCCAGTTGGCCATACAAAGAGGCCATGTTGTGCAGCCGTGGTCCGGCGAAGAGGGCGAAGCGGTCCTTAATCTCGAAGCGAACGGTTTTGTCGTATTTCCACACGTACCCTCGGGAGTAGTCCTCGGTGCAGATGATGTCCAGCAGTGTGCGCTGTGTCAGTTCGTGCACCGCCTTTGGCTCCATGGTGAAGGCGTCCAGGCAGTCCGTGGCGTAGAACTGGTACGGTTGCCACGTCCTGCCGAAATCCAGAGACTTCTCCAGAACCATCTGCTCGGGTCGGCCCGATTCGAAGGTTATGACGATGTCGTCCGTCAGCTCGATGGTTTTGTTCCAGGACAGGGTGATGTTGACCTGCAGGGGCTTCGGGTATTTCTTCCACGAGGTCGACTGCCAGAAGGTTGTGGGGTTTCGACCCTCGAAGTCGAACATCAGCTCAGGCGGGTGGGCGAGCTCCTCCGTGGCCGCGTCACATTCATTGTTGCACATGTACGGGTTCTCCTGCAACAACAAAACGAGAACAGGTGTTAACGAAGCGAGCTCCGCCTTAACATTCGAGATTTCATCTTATACTTTTGGTGATCATTTCAGATTCGTAGCTCACTGAAACACACACTAACACACCACCACCACGTCAGTGTTACTGCAGTGCTGAGAATGACCCACCACCCAAATAGTACCTGCTCTGTGAGGGTCCATAGGGGTCCTGACCACTGAAGAACAGGTTGACAAAGTATGCAGAGAAACAGATGGACTACAGTCTGTAACTGTAGAACTACGAAGTTCTACTAAGGCTGATGGGTGTATAGTTCATTTAAGAACCTTAATTTTGAGACCAAATAAGATACCAGCCTTCACTCTCCAGAATAAAGATCACATATAAAAAGGGGTTTTTCAAGGGTTCTGGAGTAAAGAAAATGGTTCTATATGGAACCATGAACACTCAAAAAACCCTTGGCATTATTAATGGGTTCTCTGCATCATGAAACGGTTCCTCAGATTGATGGAGAATGTGTTTTATATGGTTCTATGTAGAACCTTTTTGAAAAGCGTTCTAGTTTCTTCTAGGCTTGTGATCGTAACAACAGAAGAACCCTTTTGGGTGCTATTCAGAATGTGCTCCATCTATAGTACATTCTCCATCAATCTGAAGAACCATTTAATGATGCAAAGAACCCTCATTAATCAAAGGGTTCTTTAAGTGGTCATGGTTCCATATAGAACCCTTGAGAACATAAGAACCCTTTTTTAAGACTGTTCTTAACTGGCTCTAGGCTTGGTTAAGGAATCCACTGCTCAATGTATGCAATACATTGAAAAGATCTAACGCTGTTCTAAAATTACTGAGTGAAAGAAAAGGACTCATGTTTCAGCTGTAGAACTACAGGATGTGATGATATAATCACTTCCTGTTTATTAGAATTGATTTGTTGGATCGTAACAGTACAGTTGGTGCCATTACAGTCGTCAGTGTTCAGGAACTTTTTTAGATAACGAGCTTAGACATCAGTTCAGCTCATTCCTACCCAACTGCCCTGCTGGCTGCAGAGCCCTACACTGTTAGAAATGAAGGTTCTGTTCAGGTACATTTTCGTTCATCAAGGTACAAACGTTCCCTCAAAGCTCCAACAGTGGTTTTAAGGTCTGATTGTGCACCTTAAATAAGTTTTTCCAGGTGAAAAGTTGGTATTTGTACCTTTTCATAACTGAATGTTTTAAACAGAACAGTAAAATAAAAGCCTGGAGACGAGACGGGGTGTGTGGAGTCAGTACAGCTTAGAACATATCATTTCAGTGGATTATGGTTCAGTTATGTTCCCTGACTAAAGGTACTGAGATGGAGCCATGAGGGTTCCACCCCAGTGACAAGAGGGGCACTGACCCAGTGACAGTCTAGTACCTTAATTTCTGAGACGGTACACTCATAAAAACAAAGGTGCCAGAAAGGGTTCTTTGCACAATGGCTAGAACCTTTGGTTCCTTAAAAAACATTTCAGAAACCACCCTTAATAAAAAAAATAAATAAAAAATAATAATAAAAAAAAATAATAATAATAATAGTTAAAAAATATAGGGCACTTATACACAAAGCAGCTCAAAGTGTTTTATGAATAAAAAAGTAAAATTAAGTAATAAAAGCAAAATTACAGCAAAAGCAGGAAGAGGAAGAATAAAACTAACATGATCAAAACAAAATTAGGTAAAATGACAAAAGAAATAAATGACAACCGTATTTTAATTAATACCTACACACTTAAAAGAGATGGTCCTTCAAAGGTTCTTTAGTAAAAAAATGGTTCTATGTAGAGCCATGAGCACTCAGAGAACACTTCAGACTGATGAAGAATGTGCTACATAGAACCCTTTTCAAAAAGGTTGTATACAGAACCATCTACAGCACATTCTCCATCAATATGAAGAACCATTTCATGATGCAAAAAATCCTTTAATCATGCAAGGAGTTCTTTGAGTGCTCATGGTTCTATACAGGACCATTTTCTTTACTCAAGAACCCTTGAAGAATCAACATTTTTTAAATTGTAGGTTAAAAAGATGAAGTTTCAACTGATTATTAAAAATGTGAACTGAAAAAGAACAAAATGAGGAAAAGTAAAATGATAAAAAAAATTAAATGACAAGCAAATAAAATAAATTACAGCAATGTTTTAAATAAAAAACTGTACATTTTTAAATGTTCTTTAAAACGTGTACTAGACTCGTACAGCAGTTGTAAGAGGTGTTGAGTTCCACAGTTTAGAAGCTTAAAAACAGACAGGAGCTTCTCCACTTCAGCTGGTAAAGAACCTTTAAATTGCGTGGTTTTTACTTTGAGGTTCTTCACATTCACCAATCCCGTTTCCAGACCTGGTCCCATCATGAGAAGGTGCGTCCAGATGTTTGGCTGGGACCGTACGGAGCACCACATGAAGTACCGCAGCAGAACAGTCAGGTTCCGTCTCTGCCACCCAGACTGTAAGCGTAATTGATATTCCTGCTAGTTGGCCGTTTGAGGTTGGAGCAGAATCCCAATGAGTAGATGTTGGAGGAACGTGGAGAACTCGATGCATTTTTCATGGGCTCCTGGCGGCTCCTACAGCAGCTGCGCATCAGATCAGCTCCATTAATCGGCATTCGGCTCACCTCTCGGCCGCAGCTCAGAATAATGACAATCAGCCGTGAACTTCAATACAGGCCATTCATCTCAGCGCAGCGCACGCTGATTACTACAACGGGACAAACTCGCTGCCGCTTTCAGACACAATCAGCAGCGGAACATAATTACAAACCTCATCAGGGTCCGTTATTACCAGCATAAAGCTTAGTTTTTGTTTGTGAATCGGTTTATAATGAAATAAGGACTGAAAAGAGAAGTGGATGACGCTCCCTCTCAACTCTCCCTCTTCACTCAAGACCGATACATACACAACATGTGATTTTTTTCTTTTATTATTTTTAGACCTTCTTAAGAACACAAAGCTGACTGAAATATGAATGAAGTTGCATATTTCCCTCCCTGTATTTGAGTGACAGTGTACAAAAATAGGAATACAGTTGTGCATCAGGAAGGGAAACTTTATGCTCTTGCAAACTTGCCACAGATTTAGATAGAAATACAACCCCAATTCCAAAAAAGTTGGGACGCTGTGTAAAATGTAAATAAATTTAAGTAAAAAACAGAATGCAGTGATTAGCAAATCTCTTAGACCCATATTTTATTCACAATATAGCAAAGAACACATATCAGATGAGAGACATTTTACCATTTCATGAAAAATACTAACTCATTTAGAACTTGATGGCAGCAATGCATCTCAAAAAAAGTTGGGTCGGGCTGGAAGGCTGGAAAAGTAAGTGGTACTAATAGAAAAAAAACAGCTGGAGGAGCAATTTGCATCTAACGCACATGACTGAGTATAAAAAGAGCATTTTAGAGAGGCAGAGTCTCTCAGAAGCAAAGATGGGCAGAGATTCACCAATCTGCGAAAAACTGCGTCTAAAAATTGTGGAACAATTTCAGAAAAATGTTCCTCAACATAACATTGTTAATACTTTGAATATCCCACCATCTACAGTACATAATATCATCAAAAGAGTCAGAGAATCTGGACAAATCCCTGTATGCAAGGGACAAGGCCAACGGTCAATATTGGATGCTCATGATCTTCAGGTCCTCAGGCGGCACTGCATTAAAAACAGGCATGATTCTGTACTGGAAATCACTGCATGGGCTCAGCAACACTTCCAGAAATCATTGTCTGTTAACTCAGTTTGCCGTGCAATCCACAAACACAAGTTAAAGCTGTATCACGCAAAGAAGAAGCCATATGTCAACACGATCCAGAAACACTGCCGTCTTCTCTGGGCCAAAGCTCATTTAAAATGGACTGAGGCAAAATGGAAAACTGTTCTGTGGTCAGATGAATCAAAATTTTAAATTCTTTTTGGAAACTATGGACGCCGTGTCCTGAGGACTCAAGAGGAGAGGGACCGTCCAGCTCGTTATCAGCGCACAGTTCAAAAGCCTGCATCTCTGATGGTTTGGGGGTGCATTAGTGCCAATAACACAGGCAGCTTACACATCTGGAAAGGCTCTATCAATGCTGAACAGTATATAGAGGTTTTAGAACAACATGTGCTCCCATCCAGACAGCGTCTCTTTCAGGGAAGACCTTCATATTTCAGCAGGACAATGATAAACCACACACTGCATCCATCACAACAGCACGGCTTCGCAGAAGAAGAGTCCGGGAGATGAACTGGCCTGTAGTCCAGACCTTTCACCAATAGAAAACATTTGGTGCTTCACACAGTGAAAAATCCAGCAAAGAAGCCCCAGGACTGTTGGGCAGCTAGAATCCCACATCAGACAGAAGAGGGGATGGTACACGATGGTGGACACGGCCCTGTCCCAACTTTTCTGAGACGCGTTGCTGCCATCAAGTTCAAAATGAGTTAATATTTTTCATGAAATGGTAAAATGTCTCACTTTCAATACCTGATGTGTGTTCTATGTTCTATTATGAATATAATATAGGTCTATGAGATTTGAAAATCACTGCATTCTGTTTTTATTTACATTTATTTACATTTTACACAGCGTCCCGACTTTTTTGGAATTGGGATTGTATATATTTTTTAAGGAATATTATAATTCATAGATGAGCTTGGTCACCAAAAATAAGCTGACAGATGGTAAAAGATAGTCTTGAATATGTAACAGCAGCCCGATTATGATTATTTATATAATTATTATTACAACCCCATTTCCAAAAAAGTTGGGACGCTGTGCAAAAAGTAAATAAAAACAGAATAAAATGGTTCTTCAGATTGATGGAGCATGTGGTGTATATGGTTCTATATAGAATCTTCTTGAAAGTGTTTCTAAATAGCACCAAAAAGTGTTCTGATATTGTTGGAACCATTTCTGATATTGCTACACTGTCAAGCTCAAACATTTCATGCTTAACCATTAAAGCGTGAAATAGTTGAGTGTTAATGGT